AGCAACCTTTATTCCTGAACCCGAACCGGCCCTCTAGGCACACTTCCTGGGAACACACTGCCTCCTTGCACCCGAGGCAGCAGGATCCGCCCTAATCCCAGCAAGATCCGCCCTAATCTAGGAGCAGCCCTAATCCCAGAGCAGGGTCACCTTTCAACCATTCCCTCTGGCAAAAATGCCAGGCATCATTTTGACTAAACTGTGGCTCTCAACAATATCCCTGTTATCACTATCTAAAAAATTCAATAAAAACATTTTTAAAAAAGAATTATCATATCATAATAATATCATCAGGGAACTATGAATTTACAATTTATCTGTTTTATCACTAGGTTTAATAGCTGGGCCAGTACACTGCAAATCTAAAAGATATCATATACATCAAGAGCATAACATACATAGGTTTTTATGTTTGATATTCCAGTCTGTTTAAATACAAAAATCATCACCTTTTGTCTTTATTTTCTACAGAGATTTTTTTTTCCTTGATAGAAGTACCTCTTTCTTTCTCTGCAGCTTCCTTGTAACTGCAGAATGGCAAGAACTACATCATTTAATGAATATTCATATCAAAGAGATATTTATAACATTTCTCATGCCATTGCTCCTTTACCCTTCCTCTATACACACTTTGAGAATTACAATGAATTCTTTAAATCCTGAAGGAAAAATCTTCAATCTTTATACTAACAACAGACCTTCAAATTAAAGAGAAATTAGAAATAGGTTTTTGTGGAAAGAAATCATACCAGCAAATCCAAGATAAATAATAAATATAAGAGGTGAGATTTCAGTGGTAAATAATTCACTAGTAAGAAAGTATAATAATAATAATAGATAACATTAACACAAAAATATAAACTTTTGAGGGGAAGGAATTTTTCCTTTTGTTATGACCCATGTGTTCAGAGTAATATTTAGTGCAGGATAGAAGTCCAGAATGTTTGTTGGGGAAATGAATGATTGAACAAATGAATGAATGTATGGGATGCAGAAAATTGATCATGCTTATCCTGGTCATATAAAATGCATCTATGATCCCTTGATTCCAGAATTAACAATCTGAAATGTGAAAATGGTTCAGACTGAAGAACAATTAATATAAAAGTGAAAAATGCAAAATCTTGGTATTCAAATGTCCACAGATTAGAATGGGAAAGCCTAGCACGTAAATAGCGCTGATACTAGGATAAATGAAAAAAGGGTTGTAATAAGTATTCTGAGGCCACATACTGGTTGAAAAAGCTACAAATACACTATGTGTGAGCATTACTAAAATGAAGAGGGAGAGGACAAAACAGTACAGGTATCCAAGGCAAAGGCACAAAAATGTCAAATAGCACAGTATTTTTGAAAGAGAGTAAACTGTGGATTTTAAAAGTTTTTAACCAAAACGTGCAAGCCAGGTGCAGTGGCCCACTCCTATAATCCCAATGACTCAGGAGGCTGAGGCAGGAGAAACACAAGTTCAAAGCAAGCCTCAGCTCCTTAGCAAGCCCTAAGCAATTTAGCGAGACCCTGTCTCAAAATAAAAAATAAAAATTGTTTGGGAATGTGGCTGAGTTGTTGAGTGCCCCTGGGTTCAATCCCTGGTTCAAAAAAAAAAAAAAAAAGTGCAGCAAGAAATACACACATATTTAACTGAAACAAATTTTATGAAATCATACCTACCTTTTCTCATTTGATATATCTGGTATTTTCTAATCTATTTCATCCTCTTTATTGCTGGTCAAGGTGTACTGAATCAATTTCAAGACCCATTTGTCTGAAAAACATTGATTTGAACATTGAATAGATAATGTTGAATAGACCACTGAAGTGGAAGCCAGCTGCCAGAATAGCTGCAACTCTTCTCCCATCCAGGTGATTTGTTGCTGAACTGCAGTACTTACAGAACTCTGCTGTAGGTCACTCTCCTACTTAAAACTACACAGTGTGGTAGAACAAATCAGTAGTGAACTTCTCTATATCAGTCCAAAGTATGAGACAGTAGAGTACCATGGGGCTTTTCTTCTCTTTTCTAGATATGTTTTGACTGTAACAATTATTTTATCTAGCAATATTTTTGGAAAATGAAACTATTCTCATTTCCAGGATAATCCCAAATTCAATTTATACTAAAATTTATCTCAATTTACTAGAATCACATTGCATTCTTTAAAAAAAAAAAGCAGGACTCTAATAATTCCTCCATGTATAATGATTTATGTATCCACAATAGTCTTCATTCAAGACTACTTATAGGTATTTTCTAGATACCAGGCCTTCTTCTAGTGCTAGGGATTACAAGAGTGGGGAAATAGGAATCCAAGTCTCCCAACCTAGAAAGATCAAGTTAATTGAACACATACAAATAATAACAAAAGCTATGAAGCTATGCAGGAAAAAAATAGTGTTTTGGATTAGAAAGTATTACTTCAAGTAACCAGGGAAGGCTGTTATTAGGAGATAACATTTTAAATGATACCTGAAGGAAGAGAAAAGCCCATTAAAGTAAAATTCTAAAGGGAGAAAAACAATTTTCCAAGCACTGGACATGCCTAAGTGAAGACCTCATGCAGGAAAGATATGTGGTATGAGAAGACTACTGTATCTCAATCACAGTGTGAAGTTGGGAACACTGATATAAGATGAAATAGGAAGTTACTTGAAATTACTGGATTGTTCTATTAACTGGAAGGGAAAGTTATTGGAGAATGAGGTGATCCAATATGGGTTTTTAAAATCTCATGCTTGCAGCTCTGTGGAGAAGGGATTAGACAGGGATTAGAGGCTCAAAGATCCCTTGGGGAGACTGATCTCCAGAGAAGAACCAATGGAACAATGGAATTAGGTGTTGGCTGGAGATGGAGAAAAACAGTTGAACTTGAGATGTATTTGGTTGTTAGAACAAACAAGGCAAATTTAGAATTTTCTTAAGAGGCCACAAGGAAGTTAATAAAAAATTGGTGGATAAGTGAACACATAAAAAGGGAAAGATAACACTGAAGGGGAAAAATTATACTCTGCAGAAAGAATGGGAGACATATACACAAAGTAACAGGGTAAAAATAATCTTTCACCTTTGTAACTCAAATCCCATGTTCCTCTCTGGGCCTCTAATTTCTTAAAATAAGGTATTTAACCAGGGTAGAAAGAAAAAGAACTAGCTTTAAGAGTTTTGGGTCTTAAATGGATGAGCCCAGGCCACCAAAAAACCTTAACTTACCCAATGAAAACAATGAAGGAAATTTTAACTAAGATCATTTGTGGAGTATCTGATTTAATTGGTCTAAGGTGGACTCAGGCATAAATTGTTCTGTGGTGCTGGGGATTGAGCCCAAGGACTGCCTCATACTAGACAAATGTTCTACCATCAAACTACACCCGCCAGCCCTTTTTTAAAGTTTTTTATTTTATTTTGAGACAGGGTCTCCCTAAATTGATGGCCTTGAACTTGGGATCTTCCAACTCAGCTTCCAGAGTAGATGGGATTACAGGCCTGCACACTAGGCCAGCCAGCCATAGGTGTTTGTTTGTTTGTTTAAATTTAAGCTCCTTAGAGAATTAATATTATTATTACACAATATCTTTGTTTATTTAGTTTTATATGGTGCTTGGGATGGAACCCAGTGCCTCACATGTGCTAGGCAAGCCCTCTACCACGAAGCTACAACTCCAGTCCCTCCTTAGAGAATTATAATGAGCAGCCAGGATTGAAAGTCCTGAATTAGAAGTAGAGCTGAGGATGCCACATCAATAACACTATTCTGTTAATGTAAGAACAATAGAATGGGATGAAGGAATTCTTCCCTCAAAGAACAGTATATACCCATCAGTTAAACAATTATATATTTTGAGACCACAAGAAAATAAAAGCTCATTTCCTTCTGTGTAATTATTTTTTTTTAAGCTGGGAGATAATGTTATTGTCATCTTATTAAAAACACGGCCACTCATATACCTAAAATATATTTTATTCCCATTATGAACAACAATGAAGGAAGAGATTCACATCTGAAGGGTGACTGAAAGCAAAATAGAAGAGGAATAAATGTGTGCAATCTTGTTTATACAAGGAGACAAAGTGCAGTGGAAAAGTGAGCAAAAGAAGTGAAGGATTTTGATATCTGGGAGATATATATATATACACACATACATACACACACATATGAATATGTATACACACACATACACATATATATAAATAAAATTGGTCACAGAATACACTGGCAATGGGTTTGACTGTATTATACCACTGTTGCTTTTTAACTGTTTAGTGGGCGTCCTTCTGGGATTTAACCCCTAAATTAGCCACAGGATTACCAGAGCAGTTCCATGAGCCAAGCAACTATTCTCCTGAAATAGAAGAGAGATCAGAAATACAACCCTTCTTCAGGTGGCAGGAAGATGCATGCCTTTGTTGCTTGGGGATGGTTGAAAAATTGAAAGTCATAGGGTTCCATTACTAGACCTAAACCATTCAGTAGATTAGTGGTCGCATTAGAATTACAAAGGTTTTACAAAGTTAGGTTTTCACTAAGTCTATTTACACCTTCTTTGAAGCCTAACTCCACTGAAAACCAAAGAGAGGAATGCGTAAGACAATTTCTAACTTCTACGCTGAAGAACTTGAAGAATCACAGCTGCCTAGGGAAAGTGGTAGTACGCTGTCAGTGCAGCCTTAAATCGGTAGGAAAAAAACAAAACAAAACAGTGATTTGAGCATAGAAACAATGGTGAATTTCTAGTCTTAAGTGGGCGTGTCTACTTCAGGAGGGCAGTGAAAGCAAAACAGAACTGAAGGATTAAGAGAAGGAGGGAGAACTCAAATAATCGCAAAACGCGGGTGTGGTGGGTGGGAAAGGCGTTGCCAGGACCTAAAAGCGGCACAAAGCGGGCAGGCGAGCTAGCTCCGGCAAACGTTGGGCGCCCCGCGGGAAGCGGGAACGCGGGCGGAAACTACAAGTCCCAGAAACCACGGGCTTCGAGCCGCGCCGCGCCGCGCCGCGCCTCGCAAAGCCCGCCGGGAGCCGGCTGCAGCCGCCAAGATGTCGCAGACTAAGAAGAGAAAGCTTGAGTCGGGGGGCGGCTGCGAAGGAGGGGAGGGAACTGAAGAGGAAGATGGCGGGGAGCAGGAGGTGGCCGTGCCACGACCCCGGAGGACTAAGCGCGAGCGGGACCAGCTGTACTACGAGTGCTACTCGGACGTGTCGGTCCACGAGGAGATGATCGCCGACCGCGTCCGCACCGATGCCTACCGCCTGGGTATCCTGCGGAACTGGGCAGCTCTGCGAGGCAAGACCGTGTTGGACGTGGGTGCAGGCACCGGCATTTTGAGCATCTTCTGTGCCCAGGCCGGGGCCCGGCGCGTGTACGCGGTGGAGGCCAGTGCCATTTGGCAACAGGCCCGGGAGGTAGTGCGGCTCAACGGGCTGGAGGACCGAGTGCACGTCCTGCCGGGTCCGGTGGAGACGGTGGAGTTGCCAGAGCAGGTGGATGCCATCGTGAGCGAGTGGATGGGCTATGGACTTCTGCACGAGTCCATGCTGAGCTCTGTGCTGCACGCGCGGACCAAGTGGCTGAAGGAGGGCGGTATTCTCCTACCGGCTTCCGCTGAGCTCTTCGTAGCCCCCATCAGCGACCAGATGCTGGAGTGGCGCCTAGGCTTTTGGAGCCAAGTGAAGCAGCACTATGGCGTGGACATGAGTTGCCTAGAGAGTTTCGCCACACGATGCCTCATGAGCCACTCGGAGATCGTGGTGCAGGGTCTGTCCGGCGAGGACGTGCTGGCCCGGCCACAGCGCTTTGCTCAGCTGGAGCTGGCCCGCGCCGGCCTGGAGCAGGAGCTGGAGGCCGGGGTGGGCGGGCGCTTCCGCTGCAGTTGTTATGGCTCAGCGCCCATGCATGGTTTTGCCATCTGGTTCCAGGTGACCTTCCCTGGAGGAGATTCGGAGAAACCCCTGGTGCTGTCCACCTCGCCTTTTCACCCAGCCACACACTGGAAGCAGGCACTCCTCTACCTAAACGAGCCGGTACAAGTGGAGCAAGACACGGACGTTTCAGGAGAGATCACGCTGCTGCCCTCCCGGGACAACCCTCGTCGCCTGCGCGTTCTGCTGCGCTACAAAGTGGGGGACCAGGAGGAAAAGACCAAAGACTTTGCCATGGAAGACTGAGCATTGCCTTTTCTCCCAGCCCCACCTCCTAAGGCAGCCTGGCCTGTTTGGGAGAGGCATAGGGAGGTCGGAGGAGAAAGGGAGATCCCATGTGCAAGTAGGGGACTATCTCTCTTTTCCCTCATGGTTCTTGGGGAGGGAGAGTGACTTCAGTTTGAGGAGATTCTTCTGGCAATTTATAAAGCGATGTCCCCAACCATGGATACAGCGTGCTTAATGATAGGCTTTTAAGCCTTAAAAGCATATGGAAACAAGCACTTGTAATTCCATTTCTTTTGTTTCACGGGGGAAAAAAAAAGACGGATAAAATGTCAGTTTATGATGGGTCCATGCACAAACCAAACACCTCACACTTAGATAAAGTCTGCAGCTGGGAAGAGGGTATAGGAGTTCAGTTCCACTCCAGAAATTTCCACTATGACTTAACCTCTCCAGAGTCTTATTTTCTTTGTCTGAATTCCCCCCCATTCCTAGATGTTTGTAGGCTATGGTACTTGTTCCTCATTGTTTTCTAAATAAATCTCACTACTGGTCATTAAAGGGTGGAGAAGAGGAAGTAGTTTAAATAGCCCGGTTCTTACTACTTCTATTGGGTGCTAAAGTTTATGAATACATGGAAATGGACTTTATATAAATTATATAGCATACCTAAGAAATTTAAAATACAACATTTAGAGAAAAAAAAAGTCTGAAAAACTGCGAAGTAGCATGGATTTTAAAATTCTTATTACTCTTAAAACTGTACCAAGAAAATGTCTCATTATGTTCCATAATATTGGGGTAATTATGAAACAGGCTGATAGAGAAGGTTTCTGGACCTAAACCCAGGCCTTATTCATTACCATGGGTACATTATTTAAGCTCACTAAAATAAAGAAAATACATTCCCAGCTAGAGAAAAGTGTAGTCAATTTAAACATGTGGAGGGATCAAATGACTTGGCCTATTTACATCTAGTGAAAGTTCCTTTCTTTTCTTTTTTAACCTTTTTTTTTTTAGATCACCCAAATGTGAAAGTTGTGAATTTGGGAAAATGGCTTGTAATGAAGTGTGAGTCATGTCAAATTCATTCCACTGATGTTTCCCTCTTTATCTCTATGGCAAATAAAACATTTCCATTCCTATTATTTTTACAGATTAAGTAAGTTTTGTGTGCTGTTTATGAGTTACAATGCTTTTTGCCTTTTTAATATCAGTTCTTAAGTGTTACAAACCCTTCAGAACACAGCTTCAGGGCAATTCAAAGGACTAAAGGTATGGTTTTTGCATATTAGTAGCTTTTATATGCTAATAGAAAAAGTGTGGAAATTGTGTTCTTAAGTACTCTAGCATTTTATTTGTAACTTGCATTTTCTGCTCTTTTGTTCATTGCATATTAAGGTATTTAAGTCTAACTAATTTGTTAAAATTTGATATTGTTATGCATGATCCATTTAATCTTCCATTTTGAAGGAAGGAAAACATACATGTACAAAGTCATCAATTTTACAAAATAATTAAACAACAAGCAGTTCAGTTACAATTGTCACTGTTTTAATACCATTATTCTAAAAATGCTACCTTGTAGGAAGCTAGGTTTGGTTTAAGTTAGAGGTAAGAGCTCCTTATTTTGGAGCCATCTATATACTTAAAATCAAATATTTACTTAAGAGTTTTAATGTTTGGTTTGAGTAGATTTCTAGTGGTTTTGTTTGTTTAAACTTTTTATAACAATCTCTGTACTATGTAGCCAAAAGAAAGCATTCTTCAGAATTCCATATTTCACATACATTATAGTTTTCTCATTAACTAATATAAGCACACAAAGAAAACTCCATTTAAAACTTGGGAAACTATAGGTGTGAAGGTGGATATGTCATACTTAATCAAAGTAAGTTTCAAAATTCATGTTACTCTTTTTCCAAAGAAAAATGAATTATAAAAACAGGCAATCAAGAAACAGCATGGTATAAAAGTTAAGAGGTTGGCCTAGGGAGCCAGACAGTCCATGCCTGCACTTAGGCCCCGCCATAGTTTCCTTGGAGGGAGATAACAATAGTACCTACTTCATAGAAATGTGAGAGTATAATGGTTAATTCAGGTAAACACATAATGCCTGATATGTAAAAAGTTCTCAGCACCCTCTCAATCTTGTGATTATATAAAATTCATGGAAATCTGGAGCTGTTAGATACATACAAATTTTGCTACAGAATAAATATTCAACATTTTGGTTTTTTTTTACAGGTATCGTGTGATGGTATCATCATGGCTATACATGAAGAGCAATGTATGACCCTGGACACCAAATGATCCAAAGGAAAACCAAGACTTTTGGAGTGAGGATACTTCCTGAAGGATGCAAGTCTAATATATATCAGTATACAGGCATTGTCCTCTCTTGTGGACTGGTACTGATTGCTTGGGGCCATTCGGGCCCCAGGCAAGAATTCCCAGCTCCCCCAAAAACATGGTAAAGTTATACTTGTTTCCCTCAAACAACTTACATTTATTTAACCCTATGAAATGTCCCAAATATTTTCATTAATTCATTGGACCAATGAATATTTTATTGATTATATGAAGTAATAGTCATTGTTATAACCATGTAGGATACAAACCAATAGAACAGATTCTGCCTTCAGATACATACCTTTATAAGATAAACTACTAAGTATAATAAACAACAGGCTAAGGACTGGGTTGGTCTTGGTGTTAGGAAGGACAGATAATTATCTTCCTTTCTCACACAGATTTACACAGATATTGAAGGATTTGCATAACGTTGTATGTCTGATAACTTAAGTCCTCCTAACCTCAAAAATTCACTTTTTCATTATATCAATCCTGCATGCTTCAGTCAAAAACATAAAAGTACATACCTCCTGAGTAGGTAACAACTAATTTTATCCTTTTATGACCAAGAAAGGGAAAACTCCTTAGCCCTTGGAAGTCTCACTGGAGAGCTCTTAGGCCTTGAAAAACCACCCCCTTTAAGAATAGGGTCTCAAGGTTTGACAAATACTAAGCACTCATTAAACACTCCCAATACCCATTCTTTAACAGCTAATCAAATGTGATACATATCCTGAGGCCCCCAGAAAACTGAATCCTCAACACTGTGAGGCCATTTGTCCTTGGTCCTTGGTATCAGAGAGAGAAGAACCAGATGAGTTTGAAAGTGATGCTGAAAATGGCCTAGAGTCAAGTAGGTAAAAATGTGAAAAGCATTTCAGCAAACAACATTTTGCTTATGGTCAGCCCTATTGTTATCTTCATACTTCACACTACCTAATGTGGCTGAGGGATTGGTCTTGGGGGCACTTAATAACAAAGATACCCCACTCTTGCATGTGCATCTTTTGATGCATTGATTTATTCACTGATCCAATGAACCAGCAATATAAATTCTAAATAAGTAAATTCTACTTGACTATAATATGGTAGGGAACTTAATTAACAACATCAATAATTTACATGCATTGTTGAGTCTGGAAAAGCTTCATTCAACTAAACCTTATCTCTGTTGAAGCAAGATTGGAAAGGCAGCAAAAATATAGCTTATACTCTCAGATACATAATGAAATCCTCAGGAAAAAATCCTCTCTGACATTAATTCCAGAAACAAAGTCTATATCCTCTGAATAACTGGTTTGTTTCATAAAAGACATAGCATATTGGTTAGATGACCCTCCACAATGGCTGCTAGAAGGCTGAGCCAATTTTATGCCTCACTTGTCCTATTTTTTTTTTTTTAATCTTTGCATCTGGCTCCCTTCCACACTCTAATTTTTTCTCTGATTTTTCCTCTCACACTTGTAATACATCATATATGTTTTGTTGGTATTTATGTAACCTTTTTCTATTCTAAATTTTTTTGACATTAAAATGTTTTCCTACTTGAAATACCTACAAGATGTCTGAGGGTGGGGAGGTTAGAGAAAGGACCCGAGAACTCAGATACATGTCCCCGTAATTTCCTACAAAATGTGTTTGTCTCCGATTTTTCATTGGGTTGGACAGCTGATTTGATTCCCATACTTTTAGCCAACTTTACAGAATAATACATTTTGTAGAATCAAAATTTCAGAGTATATGAAAACTCAAGACATGTAGAGAATCTCGAATAAAATCGTGAATAAAGCTCTTTTGAAGCCTAGGACAAGTCTTGATTAAATCTTAAACACACTTAGTAAGAAGAATTATAGGTTTCTAAACCTTTTTCAAAAATGTGTCAAAATAGTTATGGTAACAATAAGGCGGAATGTGGCATAATTAGACTATTTGTCAAAATATTGTACATATTTGCAGGTAAAGAAACAAAAACCTTGGACCTGATTAAACATTAAGAGGATTTTAATAAAAATCAGGACATGACCAGTAGCAGTGAAATTGTGCTCCTTTGGTATCTTTGATAATTAAATTCATCGTTGTTGATAATAGAAGTAGTAGGGGAAGACTGGTGAAGATTTCAGTTGATTGAGTAGCTTTAAACACAGCAGACATGTACAGTACAGGGAACTGTGGTGGGGTGCTGATATCTTTTCAGTATGCTCCTTCAAGTACAAAAAAAAAGGAAGAAAATAGAGAAGGAAAGGCAGTCAGAAGGAATGATCTCTGTACTTTTTAAAATCTTTGCAGGCACTCCACTAATGAAGTGAGATATGTGTTTGTGAAAAACTTTCACATTCTGCAAAATTGTTGGCTAAAAATAACAAAGTGATGAGAAACATAAGATGGGTGATCCACCAAAACCTATAAAGCTTTGTAACTAAGAGTACTAATACGGTACTATTTATAATAAAAGTAGTAGCAGTTAATTCCTAACAAATTCTAAAGTAAATATAAGTAAGGATAGCTCAAAGGAAGGAAATAAGATATAACTTCACAAACAAAACCCGCAAAGATGGGGAAAAGGCTCAATAAATAATTCTAAGATAAAGAGAATATGGTCAGAGCCAGCAGGAAGAACCTAGTGCATGATACATTCCTCTTAGCTCACTGTATTGAACTACACATTTGTGCTTTGTGTTCAGCAGCAGTTACCAGGGGGTGCTAAGTAATAATGATGACACTGATGGCATATAAATAAGCTGACTTCCACTTCCACTGGCATTATTTCCCTACATACCGGTTGAATTCAAATTCATTTGATTTACAGAAGCATTCATTGAAGCAGAACACTTTGTCTTTTGTTCAATTTTCAAAAATTAAAGTAATTTAAAATTCCATTGGGTTTATAGATCTTTCAGTGCAAATTTTGAAGGGAAGTAGAATGGAGAGTCACATGTGGCCATAACTATACTTAAGTATAAATTTATATACTCTATAATTTTAGTCACAAGGAACATATATAGAAAGTTTGAGGAATGAAAATACTGACCTGTGTAGAGTGGAAGGAAAATGGTTGAGTACAGCTACTTGAGTTTAGGTGTTAGTTGGATAGATGGGAATGGGGACAATAGCTGTTTTTCCAAAGTCACTGGACAGCATAAAAACCTTGGAGACATAGAAACCTATAGTGAAATAAGCAAATAAATGATTTGGATCCTGATTTGTATATTCTACTCATCACAATTTCCTTAGAGTAAATTTTTATTTTTTCCCTGAAATTGTGGGCTTATAACAAAAGTAAGTATTGTGATTGATGGCAAACTACTGCTTATTTTTTGTCTTTTTTGTTGTTGTTGTTGTACTAGGGATTGAACCCAGGGCCACTCGACCACTACACTATGTCCCCAGAATTTTTTTTTTTTTTTTTTTTTTTTTGAGACAGGATCTCATAAGTTGCTGACATTGGCCTCAAAACACACATTCTCCTGCTTCAGCCTCCCCGGGAGAGATTATAGGCACATACCACTGAGCCTGGCAACTGCTGCTTATTTTGATGTTTGACTTTTTCTTTTCAGCTTAATTCCTAAAAATTCCTAAACCTATTTGAGGATTTGTATATTCAAGAACTATTTAATCCTCTCAAATTAGGGAACAAAATCTTCCAACACATGTTATTTCAAGCGATACATAATTTGGTAATGGGTGGTGTGGAGTGATGTGACTACTAGACTGTTAGATCTTTTTAAATAAACCCTTGCAGCTTTGCTCTTTTTAACACTATTATATATTACTTATTTTATATGTTAAGATAATCATATATTATTGTATTTAAATCATTATAAGAATAAAGTAAGGAATTTTGACCTTATATGTGATGATGGAAAAAGATTGAGATCCACAAGTGGTTAACATTTTTATTTTATGCTTTCATTAGTATCAGACTTTTTACCAGGACTTTTTATAAAAGTAGCAAACTGCTTATTTGTCTTTTAATTCTTGTCATAGGGGTTTGAACCCAGGGCCTCACGCATGCCAGGCAAACAGGCTATCACTGAGCCACATCCTCAGACCCCACACTGCTTATTTTACTGTGTACTTTTCATTCTACAATATTTATCATTTGGGGGAATTATAAAAATAGGAAACATTTAAATGGTTAGGAATGTACAGTAAGAGAATTGTAAAAAAGAGGATTTGGAAATCCAAAGATTAAATATGCAGTCCTTGAATAATTGAGAATTTTTTCTAGTCAGAATAATTAGAGGAAAACAAGGAGAGAATGACGGCAATTACAACAAACAGATTTTAATACAAAATGAAATTAGAAACCACCAGGAAATGTGCTGTTTATAATAAATAGTATTAAATACCAGCCAGCTTTGCTTGAAACCTCAAGAGGTTTATAGAGCCCAGGCATTATTATAAGATGGAAGCACATATAAATTAATTTTGTAATATTGAGTCCAAGAAAAATATTATGCTAAAGCTTCAGAATGGTAAGTAAGTTCTTATGCAGGTAGGTGGTAGAATAGTTGAGTTACTCTATACAATCAACATAAAACAAGATCAATAAAGGATGTAGTCATTGCAGCACCCCATAAATAGTGATGTTAAGACATTAAAATGATGTATTATTCAGTGGTAAAATATGTTATATGGTTGTTAATAGGCTATAGTTTTTCATTTTTGATCTGTTATGTCTGATTTATTTTATATCAGATGATAATGCATTCTTAGGAATATATTATGAAAATATCATATGCTGAAACTTTATACCAAATGATATTCCATTGCACCCATTACTACTTAGTATGTGAAATTTTTTTTATGCAAAATGTTATATTACATCAAACCATGCAGTTTCATTAAAATCAATGACATTAACATTGTTTACTTCACATGAGTTATACATAATAAAATAATATCCCATAAAGAATGACTTTCATCCAAAAGAAGATTCCATATTTGTTACAAACGTTCATCTAAGCAAATACCTCCCTTGTCAAACAGAATAAGCAATCATGATACTCAAGCATCTTTGTTAATTTTTAAATCATATTGAGTAGCTAATATATACTTTAGATACATTATTTTATTTATCAAAATAGTTCTGTGAAGTAGTTCTATTATCAATCCTATCTTATAGATGAGAAAACAAAGGCATGAAGGAGTTTGGCAAATTGTCCCAGGCTATACAGTAAGTGGCAGAGCCTGGGACTCACCCCTCAAAATCTGAACACCTCATCTTCTCAACTGTATGTCCTATATGTGACAGTTGGGCTCTCAGAGTTAAAGTGACATTTATAGGCACTAAAAATAGATTGGAACTTGTCTTAGGTTCGGTACCCCAGGAATGGATTCTTCAGCAAACCAGCTTGCATTCACGTGCAGACACACATGCACATACTTATACTTTTTTTAGAAGAGTTTGAAACAGACTCAGAAAACATCGATTGGCAAATGTAATTCAATTCTTGAAAAATACAGTGATGTCATCCCAATAAATGTCATGCAATTCCCTAGCTTTTCTTTGCTCATGCTGCCACCCCCTGCTTATCTAGAACGCCCATCTTCTCTCCTTCCCTTCCTATTTCCTATTCAAGAGTCTGTTTAAGTACTCCCTCTCATCTTAAGCTTTCATCATCTCTCTGTTCAAAGGAGTCCTTTCACAATCTCATACTCTGCTTCATGCACTTTAAGCTTTTGGACCTTGCCTCTATCTACTTTCATTTAGTTTTATTATTCTTTCAGGAAAAGACACATTTCTTACACATCTTAGCATCTCCCATTTTATATAGCATGTAGTACCTGATGGTTTTTATTCTGTTAACATATTCTGTGTTTCTTCGTGTTCCTCAGAAAAGAAGAGAGTATTTTATAACTTCAGTTAGATTTCCTGGCTGAATGAGTCCGTTTTCTGTCACTGTAACAAATACCTAAAATAATCAGCTTATAAAGACAAAAGGTTTATTTTGGTTCACAATGGAGGTTTCCATCCATGGTCAATTGTTCCTTTTGCTTTGGATGAGGTGGCACATCATGATGGGAATGTGTGGTCCCCAATAAACATCACCCTGGGGAGCAAGCTTTTACCATATGGACGTTTTGGGAGGCATTTAAAATCCAAACTGTAGCACTGGCTCAACTGAATTTGCTAAAGGTATTAGGAGAACATGGTGACCATATATTAATAAATTCTATTACTAAAAGGAAATCAATTATTGTATCCCAATCTGAAGGTAGTATATTTTTAATTGAACGATAGCTATAAGGCTGAGTTCTGCCTGGAAAAATAATAAAATATCTAGCTATAAAACAAAATTGAACTTGTTATTGTTCCTCAAAAAAAAAAAAAAAAAAAAACCTTAACCAATTTACAGCAAGTTTTATTGGGAAGAACTTCATCCAAAACTTCAATGCATATGCCAAGTTTTGGTATAGTGTGTTAAATTGCTTCAGCATAAGGTCTGTGGTTCATCATATCTAATCTATACATAGGAAATGTGACATTATTATAAAGTGTAATTATTTTCAGAAACTTTAAAATAAAGTGTTTTTAATTAAACATTTGTCTCACAATATATTACCTAAAAGACACTTTATCTCAGAAAAATTAGGCAATATTTTAAGTAGATCTTGACAAAAATGCATTAAATCTATTTTTAAAAATGTTTTATTACTTGCAAGTTTCAGCCTGATGTAATTTTAAAATAGCCAAGTTATAAACCCCTGAAAATTGGAGTTTATAATGGAAATACAGACAGACCCTTAACTTTTAGAAGAACGAAAGTGCTGTTGTAATAACATTTGCTGGTGCTGCCTCAGTCGGTGTAGCAACATGACTAGGGTGCTAGATGTGGTATTTCAAATATAAAACTGGTTGAATGCTTGCTGAAATATTTTACTATCTTCCTAAATTTACAGAAAACTCATTTCTTGTTTTGGAAACTTTTTCTCTCGAGTTATTGCAATGAAAAAGTATGCATGCCCTTTCTTTCTCTTTCCGTAATATTTATCTCAATAGTTTTATTCTCCCCATAACTGCTTTT